CACACATACACACACACACACACACACACACACACATACACTCACACACACACACACATACACACAAAATACACACATACACAGAGAAACAGAGAAAGTAAACAAATAGACACAGTAAGACCCAAGCCCCAAAGACCGAGCTGCTTCAAGTTCGTTTGGAACCACCCAGTCACAAGCTCCTCATGACGCTAGACACGAAATGTGGAGAGACATGACGACGGGGAAAACGCAAAAATGGTAGCAATAAAAGTTTGTTGGATACATTAGTGCCAGTTTCTCTTTGTGATCGTCCATTCAGAGACATAATAACGCCTCTTTTTTGTATTCCTCAGACGCTGCCCGCCAAATGAGAAGCGACAGTTTGGGACGTATCCAAAATCATTGCAGTTCCTTCGCCATTTGCACTTTGCAACCTGTTGCGGAACCATCGTCTACCCAGATGTCGATAAATTCTTGATGTGTCTTGTGTGAATCCTGTGAAAATGTATTCTGAAACGAGTGCCCTAGGATGAGTGATGATCCGTTCACCTCAGAATGTCATCATAAGATTGGGCGAATGACAAGTGTGATATATGCCTCAACAGAAGATCTCTTGATGATATAGGAAAGACTAAAAATTTCTCACAGCTCCCGTGACGGATGTATAAATATCTAAAGCAGTTTTAATGTGCAAAACAAATTTCCCTAACAGGTTTTGAAAATTTCTTGGTGTGTTTGTGGATAAGCATCGATTTATAGACGTTTTGGAGATTTTTTTTTCATGGACAAATTTGGCGATTACTTTACAATTTGTTTCAGGGCGCATCGTTTGAGATCTTTTTCATCAGACTCGTCTAATCCAAACTGAAAACAGTCGACGCCACCTTTTGCCCGTCTCTGTTACTTTATACATGAATTGGTGTGTATTCCAAAGGCTCTACCCAGTCAAATCATCTGCTCTGTTTACTTAGCCCTGGCATCTGGGAGTGCAATAAGACTTTCGTGTGCATCAGATTTCAAGCTTGCTTTGGCTTGATAAGCTAAATTTGAAGCTTTTGTTGTGTTTGCCTTGTGCAAAATAATTTTGACTAGTATTTCTGTAAGTTTACATTCATATACACGGTTCAGCTCAAGAACTGAGAATACGTACGTCGAGTAGTAAGTGACATTTCACCTTCTCATTTCTATAGTTGTGTTAATTTGGCATTCTGGTTCATATAAACCCAAAATATCGAAGTGAAATGTAAAGGTGGACTGCCAGTACACATCCTCCATGTACCACCACCACCACCAACCCAGGCCTCTGGCCGATGCAGAGGCGTATCATCAGTTTATGAGCCACAACAAGCACTTGCTGCTACAGATCAAGATGTCGGTCATTTTCTTCATCGGCGGCGTGGTCATTGTGGTGTGTGTCGTCTACATTCTGTTTCAGTGCAGGACTAAAGTGGTTAAACCACTCATCAAACATTCTAAAAACAGAAGAGTTCCTAATGAGGAGAAAAAGGAACTCTTTGGCTCTACGGATACTCTGGAGAACCTGCTGCCTTCCGAGAAAAACTCTTTACCGTTGAAAATCAGGAAAGACACGGAGTTTTATGTATGAAGATTTTAAAAAAATTGTGGTTAGATTCCTTGATAGAGTTGGGGGCAGGAGAGCAGGGCTTGAGGAGGGAGGGCCTACTGCACGCAAGATAGTGTCGTTGAATTGTGATTTCACAAGAAATGAATCTGTTGTTTTGAACACAGTGCTATATGATAAGTTCTGAGGCTTTTAAACAATGATTATATGGTTTAAAAAGGAGCAAGAGAGACGAGGCCAGAATCTATTATTCATGTCCATTCTTCTATTTCTTGTAATAAAAATGTGTGTGTGTG